CTTAACCACTGAGTCACATCCCCAGCCCTTTTTATATTATATTTTGAGACAAAGTCTTGCTAAATTGTTAGGGCCTTCCTAAATTGCTGAGGCTGGCTTTGAACGTGGGATCCTCCTGCGTCAGCCTCATGAGTCTCTGGGATTACAGGTGTGTACCACTGTGCCAGGCCCGTTATTGATTCTTTTTTAAAAATTTTTTTCTTTTCTTAGTTGTTGATAGACTTTTATTTTATTTATTTATACACAGTGTTAAGAATCGAACCCAGTGCCTCATACATGCCAGGCAAGTGCGCTATGGCTAAGCCACAGCCATAACCCCCAGTTATTGATTCTTAAGAGTAACTCCCACGAGGTGRCTTAGTGTTAATCTTGGCTGCATCTTTGTGACAGGGAAGCCTAAAAGAGGTCCTGATGCAGAAAAATTATGAATGGACTTAGTAGTATTTTCATTCTGGTTAGGAAGTGATGAAGAGGCCTCTGGTTCTCCCTGGGGGATATTTCTTATCAACTCTGGGCAACACAGCAAGGTCATCACCAATAATGTCTGAAAAGAGGAAAGATCAAATTAACATCTACTGTAGCCACACGCAGATGTACCATGCCAAAATGCACACCCCACAAAATACCCACATTGCACAGGGTGGTCTTCAGCAGACACCCATAAAGTTCATATTAACATCTGCAAATACATATCCATATTCCTTCCCATCCACCAAGCTCAAAGCACGTGGACACATTGTAGTATGTATACTCCCTCAAATAGATTGACTGCCCCCCAGCCACAATGATCGACACAGTGACCAACATCACTCCCAGCTCTGTGCCGGAGAGCAGATGTCAATTCTCCCAGAATATCTCAGCCCAGCCTCTGCCTATAGATCTGCCTCATTCTACCTCAGGTTCCTTCCTATGTGAGGTCAGAAAACTAGGGGGTAAGCTTTGCAACCAAGTCAAGTCCCCATGTACCCCATAGGGCTCTGGGGAAGACAGAAATCCCATACAATGATCTAGTTGCTCCTGACCCGAGAGTGATATCTCCATAGGCAAGAACAGTGTAGAGGCCAGGAAAGGGACCCAGTTTTCTGGGTGGGAATTTGGTCTGAGGAGAGTTTGAAATGCTGTGGCCACTCTTGGGTGGCTCACACAGGTGGGCTTGCAAGTGGGCAAGAGGGGAAACAGGACCAGAAGGGTCAGTGGGTCTGGGGTCACATAAAATCCAAGTTCATGACCTAGATGAGGCACAAATTGAAATCTAGGAGCTGGGGTTGTGGCTCAGTGGTAGAGAGCTTGCCTGGCATGCATGAGCACTGGGTTCAATCCTCAGCACCACATAAAAATAAAATAAAGGTTTTGTGTCCACCTACAACTTGGAACTTTGGGTGTGGGATAAATAAACCTTCCTCTTCCTGAATTTGTGTGTAGAAAGAAAAGAAGAAGCCTGGTGCTGTGGCACTTGCTTGTAATCACAGCAACTCAGGAGGCTCAGGCAGGAGGATCACAAGTTTGTGGCCAGCCTCAGCAACTTAGTGAAATCCTGTCTCAACATAAAAAAGGGCTGGGGATGTGGCTTAGTGGTTCAATCCCAGGTATAGAAGGAGAAGGAGAGGAGGAGGAGGAGGAGGAGGAGGAGCCGCTGGCTCTGGTTCTTTTGGGTTATCTCTGCCTTATACAAAGTTCAGAAACTTTAAGTGAGGACCTGAGATGTCCTGACCTATGGGTATGGAGATGAAGTTTATGATCTTTCTGCTCTTGTCCCCCACATTTGGGCTATTGCCCCATTCACTGCATCATCATATGGAATGGCAGCTCTGTGGGCCCACATGGGAGCATGGGCTATGGTAACAAGAGCCCGGGAATTCTGTGGCCTAAAACAAAAAAGGACATCATATATGTAGCAGCAAATTTTGTCCAGTCCTGACTCTACTGAGAACTCACTGTGTGGCCTAGTGATCGATATAAACGTTTACATAAACACAGAAAAATCTATTTCCTAAGGCAAAAATAGGTCATGATTTGTAAAAAAAAATACCCCCCCCATCACTTCTGCCTTTTTATTACAGCTGGGGATCGAACCCCGGGCTTCCTGCAGGCAAGTCATGCGCTTCACCACTCAGATACACCCCGGACATTTCCATTAATTCTGGATGTGGGATGTCAGGCCAGGAACACAAGATCCTGGCCAAAGACACATCCAGGAAGATGTTAAGTGCATTCAGATTTCTGTCCTGAACAATCCTGTACAGATGCTTATACTCTGACCTATTTTGTTGACCTCCTTGGTGGTTAACATTGGTCAAATCTGGACTTGATGACACCTGTGTCTTTGGTTTGCTGCACCTCTAGGTTATCTTTTCCCATTCAGTGCCGTTTCCTGTTTAAAAAACAAAAACAAAAACAAACTTCCCCCTTAGTAAACAAAGGTAATAGTCTCATCTGGCCTAAGCCATTTGTGGGGAGGAGTCAGTGAAGAAGCCATTTAAAGGATGTGTTTAGTGTGACAACGACAGAATTCCAGGACATTTTGATTCGTTATATGAAGCAGTGGAGAATAATATTTGAAATCTGAATTTTTCTGAAAATATGGGATTTAGGAGCATTATAACCTATTTCCAAATAAGTTTAAAACTGTTGTTGGGACAAGATGTCAAACTCTGAGACAGGTGTGGTTGCGCATGCCTGTAATCTCAGCAACTCAGGAGGCTGGGCCAGGAAGACTGAAAGTTCAAGACCAGCCTCATCAATTTAGCAAAACCATGTCTCAAAATAAAAAGTAAAAAGGGCTGGAAATGTAGCTCAGTGACAGAGCATCGCTCAGGCTCACTCCACAGTAGCAAAAAACATAAAACAAAACCAACCAAATCAAACCCAAACAAAAAACTAGTGGAAGGTGGCAGAGAGGTATCCAGGAGATAAGGATGTGAGCCATGATGCAGGAGGGCCAGGAGTGTTCAGACATGCATGGCATGGGGACCCAGCTCAAAGATGGGGATCACGGGCAGAATGCTGAGGCATCTGGGCTGTGATACTTATAGGACAGTGAACTAGAGCATAAAGTAGCAGTAACCTAAAAAGGCAAGTGGGGTTAAATTACAGAAGGTCTTAATTATTGGGTAAGGAGTGCAGACTTAATGTAGTGGAGAAATGGGAGAGGAGTTGTCTCAGATGATAGGAGAAAGAGAACAGCAAGTCTGTACAATTCTTCAGGAAGGCCACTCTACCAATGGAGAGGAGGGAGGTTTGTGGATGGGATTGGACAGAGTCCACTGCCATCATCTAGGTATGAAGAAGCAACCCATTCTGGGATGATGGGGTCTGAGAAATGAAGTAAGGGGGAAGCTAAAAACAGGTCTGAGTTCCCTGGGTGCAATGACTAGAAAAATGGCAAGTATCTCTGGCAGAAATGAAGATCAGGAAGGGAATCTGTTTGAGGACATTCACAGGGAGGGACAGATCAGGTAGGAAGAGGAGCAAGATGGAAGAACACAACTAGGTAGAAATGAAGGTCCACTGTAGAAAAGTCAAGATCAAAAGGGTCTGTGTGAATAGGATCTCCCTGGGGAAGGAAAGGGGAGAAAAAGGAAGAGGAGGAGATGGAGGGGGGAAAGGACAGGGAGGGATCCAGAGGTGGCACAGGAGGGAGGGAGGCAGAGAAGGCTGGGGCACTGTGTCAGAGGATGGACCAGAAGACGGCTTCTAGGAGTGGCCAGAGGGCCGCCTGGGTTTCAAGGAAAATCGAAATTTACGCAGGCCACTGGGTTTGACTCCTTGAACAAATATGGGCATCTGGGTGTGCCCGATCTTGTGTTAGGACGGGGATTGGAAGTGGCTCCATTCAACCGACGACACCGAGAGTGCCCGTGACGGCGGCGGGCTGTGAGGTGGAGAAGGAAACCTGAGGCCGGCTTCCCTCCCGCGAGGAGCCAGTACCAGCGTTTACCAACGCCTGGGTCCGCGAAGAGGAAGGAAGCGGAGGAATGAGGGGACGGGCAGGAGGAGGGAGTGGATGGAAAAATGCGTACAGTTCAGAGCACTTAAAGGAAAAGTGAGAACTGGGAAAATGACCCGAGTGGACAGAAAACTCCTGAAAACCCCACCCCTGCGCACCAAGTAAGGAGAGTTGGATGTTTTTACGCAGGGAAAGGAAAAAAAAAATACACACACACTTTGCTGAAGAGGATGAGCAGAATTTGTCGGGGGAGGTGGGAATGTTATGGAAGAAAATAGAATACAGTCCTCATTGCTGAAGAGCCAAGAGGATCCCATTCGGACTAGATAAGAAAAACGGGAACTGGGTGTGGGAGCGCCTGCAGGCAATCCCAGCGATCCGGGAGGCGGAGGTGGGCGATCATCAGTTCGAGGCCAGCCTCCGCCACTTTGAGAGACTCAAAATAAAAAGGGCTGGGGGGTGTAGCTCGGTGGTAGAGAGCTCTTGGTTTCCATTTCCACTTCCACAAGAAGAAAGAAACACGGCAACGCGACAGAATGGTGACAAGAGGCCCGAGTGAGTGGTTCTGTGTGTGTAGCTGGAAAGCGCTGTGGCAATCAAAAAAGGGGACCTCTTGGGAGAGGCCGCAGCAATTGAGGCTTCCAGGGGGAGGTGGCATTTAACCCCGGCCTGGGTGCGCGGCGAGGCCAGTCCGGGCATGCCCCGAGCGGACCACTCAGCGCGCTGCTTTTCTCAGCCGAGGACTCTCGGCCCCCTCGCGGCGCTAGCTCGCTCCGCACACCTCCCTCGGCTGCCGGCTCCCGAGCCCGGCGCAGGTTCCCAGCACTGACGTCAGCGGGCGATGACCTCAGCGCCGGCGAGGCGGGGGAGGCGGCGGCGGCAGCCGGGCGGGCGGGGGCGAGCTGCCGCGCGCTGGCGGGGCGGGGCGGGGCGGGGCGGCGGAGGGCCCGCCCCCATCCGCTGGCCGTGGCCAATGGGCGCCGCCGTCGGCTCCCCCACCTCCGCGAACAGTATGAAAGGCGCGGTCCGGGGAAAGTCCGGGCAGAGCCTGAGCCTGGGCCCGGCGAGCGGATCTCGGAGAACTGGCACTTCCCACGAGAGACCTCTCCCTGCTCCCCGAGCCGCGCAGGACATGAGCCACGGGAAGAGAACCGACATGCTCCCGGAGATCGCCGCCGCCGTGGGCTTCCTCTCCAGCCTCTTGAGGACCCGGGGCTGCGTGAGCGAGCAGAGACTTAAGGTTTTCAGTGGGGCGCTCCAGGAGGCACTCACAGGTGAGCACCGACGGAGGGGCTGGCGTCACCGGGGATCGATCTCTTCCCTGCCTGGGGCGTCTTTCCCCCTCCCGCGTCAGGACCCCCAGGATTCGGTTGTCCCTCCCCGACACAGCTCCCTGCCTCCTGGGTCTGGTCTCCCCTCCCTGGCTCTGAGCTTGGGACTTGGCCTGAGGTGGTTCCGATGGAGCGCGCCCCTCCACGTCCCTGGGGCGAAGACCCTTTCCTGGAGTGCTATCCCGAGTCTCTGGCTCTACCCGGAAGAAGGGAAACCTGCGGTCTGAGTGAAGGTTCATTTCCCTCACTGGACCCTTGAGACCTGGAGAACCCTCCAGGGGTGCTGCGGGCCGATGAAGCCCTCCCCCCCAACCGAGGGGTCCTTATGCATAATTAAGCCTTCTTAACAACTTGGAGGCCCAGCCACCAGCCACGCTTTGGGCCCTGCGGGGCCTTCGCTGGGCCTGTCGGGTCTGCCGGTTGTTAACTCCCTCGAAGTTAGAATCTGGGCCCTCTTTGTATTTCTCTTTGGTCCCTTTTAGCCATCTGCCACCTATTGTAGCTAGTAACTGCTCCAGGCCCTGTTGTGTTGGGAGGCGGGCGTGAGACTGAGAGGTTGAGTAGAGATAAGCAGCCTCTGGCTGGCTGGGGAGAGACCTACCTCCCAGCTGTTTCTAGCCTGTTGGCTGGCGGTCTTAGAGATAGTCATCTGTGAACGTGCCTGCACAGGACCTGCCTTCTGCCAAACACAGCTGCTTCATCAAAACAATCCATTTTTTACTCCCCCGCCACTGCTAAGGATGTGTGACTCTTCTGAAGAAGACATGGGGCCCACTGGGCACAGGATGGGGGCCGGAGATCTTGTTGTGGGCCTCACAATGTTGATAGCTTTTGTGGCTCTGAAACTTCTGCTCATACACAAGGTCTCCGTAGACCCTGCCTGGACATGCCAGCCCAGTCACACCCTTCCTTCCTTATACTGGGGGTGTGCCAAAAGCAATACATTTGGCCATTGGAGAATATTCTAGAGCTCTGGGATCCTCTTTTAGCACATACACCCCTGTCCTGGGAGGGGCTAAAGGGTCTCAGAACATAAGAGAAACTACCTCTCTTACTTGAAATTGCCACTGGCCCTCTTCCTCTCCTCCTGTCCCTTCACCCACTTTCCCAGCTTGTAATATCTACCACCCAGCAACTCTAACCAGGCATCTCTCTCTTCCCTCTCTACAGAGCACTACAAACACCACTGGTTTCCAGAAAAGCCATCCAAAGGCTCTGGCTACCGCTGCATTCGCATCAACCACAAGATGGACCCCATCATCAGCAAGGTGGCCAGTCAGATTGGACTCAGCCAGCCCCAGTTGCATAGCCTGCTGCCCAGCGAGCTGACCTTGTGGGTGGACCCTTACGAGGTGTCCTATCGCATAGGGGAGGATGGCTCCATCTGTGTCCTGTATGAGGAGCCTTCGGTGGCTGCCTCCTACGGCCTTCTCACCTGCAAAAACCAAATGATGCTGGGCAGGAGCAGCCCTTCCAAGAACTACGTGATGGCGGTCTCCAGCTAGATCCCTGCTGCCCCCACCCCGGCACTCTACTGTACTCATTCGCCATGACAACAGGCCACCGCATACCTCAACCTGGGGAACTGTATTTTTAAATGAAGAGCTATTTATATATATATATATATATATATATATTATATATATTATTTTTTTTAAGAAAAGAGGAGAAAAAAAACCAAAAGATTTTTTAAAAGAAAAAAATCCTTAAAGGGAGCTGCTTGGAAGTGGCCTCCCCAGGTGCCTTTGGAGATAACTGTTGTGTGTTTGAGTCTGTGAGCCAGTGTCTGCTTATGGGAGGGGGAGTGGTTGGGGGGTAGACCTAGCCAAGGTGAGGGAAAAGCTTGGTGGCATCCCAGGAGGTAGAAGAGGGAGCAAGCAAGGTTAGCACCTGTGAATGAGAGGTCAGGATCTGCCCTGCAGGACCTCTCCTCCCAGCTGGGTCACCTGAATTCCTGGTTCCTCTCTCTCAGGGGCCTTTAAGCCAGGACTTCGATAATACTATGTTGCCTAATGTCTTTTCTAATGAGATCTGGGCAGAGTGAAAAGGCCTCTCCTTATTCCTCTGTCCTAAGCAGCTTTTCTCAGAAATCATGACTCCTTTCTGATTCTACCCTTGGGGCCTGTAGAGGTTGTTTACCAGCTAGGAATCTAAAGCGCTTTTTTTTTTTTTTTTTCCCTCCCTCGGGAGGGGATGCTAAGGCTGGGGTTGGAGGTCTTTGGGGTTAGGATGGAAGGGAACTCTGCACAGAACCTTTGCTTTGCTGTGTGCTGCTTTGTGTGTATGTGTGGCAAATGATTTGGGGGTGATTTGCAATGGAATTTTGGGACCCAAAGAGTATCCACTGGGGATGTTTTTTGGCCAAAACCCTTCTTTTTGGAACCACATGAGAGTCCTGATGCTGCTACAATTATTCTTTTGAAAGGTGGCTCAAAAGCTACAGGGAACTTCAGGGCCTTTTAATACTGCCTTTTTTTAAAGCACAACACTCCTCTCTTGCCCTCCTGTCCTCTCCCCTTCTGGTTGGGTCACGGGCTATCCTATTTTCTAGGACAAGAGTTCTCAATCACTGTGCAATATGCCCCAGGAGGCTTTGGAGAACTGGCTCATAACACCTGGTACCCTGGTAGGTTTCCCCTCTCCTCAGCTGAAGGGGAGGATGCCCATGCTCTGCAGGACTACTTGGTATACTTGCAGGGCTGACACTAAAAGCCAAACCTTGGGCATTTTTTTCTCCCTGGTGCTCAGAGCACCTGTGGGAGAATTTGTTGCCTCATAGTAAAATCCAAATTCGTCTGTAGACTTGTGCAATATTTACTTTTCTGGGTTGGAGAAAAATGGAAAACTGCACTGGGAAAAAAATCTCTTCCCTTCAGTTTCTCAGTGATTAAGGAGGGCTCCTCAGAAGACCTCAAGTTTCCCAAATCGAATCACCTTAAGAAGGACAGAGCTAGAGCATCTGGTCAACCTGGTTTCCTCCTGCTGTTGCCCCTTTGTGAAGATTCCCATTCCCCCTCTTCCTTCCTCTATCCCATGCTTCCCTCCTGACTGCCTGCCCTGCTAATCCCCTTCCCTGAATTTAACTATTCAATTTTGACTCGAAGGTGCTATTTACCAAACACTCTCCCTACTCATTCCTGCCTTTCCACTCCAGCTTTCTGCTGCCTTGCCAGGCCCTGCTTCCAGTCTTTATTGCTTTAAAGTTAACTCAGCCCATAGACCCAAGAGCTATTTTCTGGCCTGTGGGTTGGAACAAAGCTGTGAATCACTGCAGATTGTGTTCTTGCATCTTGTCTGCAAACAGGTCCCTGCCTTTTTAGAAGCAGCCTCTTGGTCTCACACTTTTCTCTCTTTTCTTGTTGATGTTCACTTTAAAAACAACCCTCCCACCCCAATCTGGAGCTGGACTGTTGAGCAGACCTGTCTCTCCTATTAAGAAAAAATAATAGTAGTGCATTTGTAAGCTATTCAGACAGAAAAGACAAAGGTTACTAATTGTATAATAGTGTTTTTATATGGAAGAATGTATAGCTTTATGGACAAATGTACACTTTTTTTGTTACTTTAATAAAAATGTAGCAGATAAAGACCTGTGGTGTAGAGAAGGTGAAATTGCCATTCAGATTTGCATTTCCTTCTCAGGTCCAAGTCCTTTATGTTTCTTCATATTTCTCTTCAATTGCATTGAGAAAAYGTGCAGCATGTAGATGGAATAAAAAGAAAGCCTAGGTGTGCAATTAGGCCATTTCCAAGCATCTCTTTCCTGGGAAGTAGCTCCTTCCTTTCCATCTTTCGTGTGTACCCTCACAGTCCCATGAGAAAACACTAGAAGAAACAGGGTCCTTCTGGTATGAACATTTCTTAGTCTAGCCAGTCTCCATCTTATGCCTCTAGTTCTTGGTAGTCCTTAGTTTCATTTGGTCATTTATTCAGCAAACACACAGTCAGCCATTCATATCTGGGTTCCGTATCCACGGATTCAATCACAGCTTGAAATGAAATCAGAAAAAAAATTCCAGAGTGTTCCAAAATCAGTACTTGAATTTGCCACATGATATGTATGATGCTGAGTCCATGACGTAYAGGCCCGTCCTGCTTTAACCTCTCCCCATTTTCTTAAATCTTCAGTCTCTAGTACTTGTTCAGGCATCGTTTGCCTCACATCTGCTTCATGTACTATGTAGTTAGACCTATAGTAACTGCATCTGCACTGGATATGTACAGACATGTTTTCCTTGCCATTCCCTAAACAATACAGTGTAACAATTATACATAGCACTTAAACGTTGTATTAGGTATTATAAATAATCTAGAGATGATTTAAAGTATACAGAGGATATGTGTAGGTTCCTTAGAAATACTATGCCATTTTATATAGGAGACTTGAACATTCATGAATCTTGGTATCTGCAGGGGCTCCTAGAACCCATCCCCTGAATATTCTGAGCCACATAACTAATGTCAGTAAGTCCTAAACAGCCCTGAAAATATTAAAAATGAATAAGACATTGCCTATCTTATGGATGAGGGATGGCGGTCATGGGGGTGGGCAGGATTGTTTGCAGTTCCCAGTAAAGGCTCTGGGAATGACCACATCTTTGCAGCTGCCATTTGCTACCTGCCATTCTTGCCTAATTAGACAAGAGCAGTTGGGCCTAGGAATCCATGCACTGGAGCCAAACGTGGCAGATTGCCAATGCCACGCGTTAGCTAAAGAACGGCCACTTCTGATGCATAGCTGATGCGAGAGCCAAGGGTTTGTTAACAATTTATAATTCCCTGTGGCCATAGGCATAGGAGCTATACGTGGAAATGAGAACAGTCTATCATCCTGTGAGGTTTTGACACAGGCCCCAGTTCCTGCTGAGGTTACAGGCACATTTTTGACCTGGGCTAGTTTTTTCTTGGCCAAAGATGGGTTGCATTTTATTTTATTTTATTGGTATTGGGGATTGAWCGGAGAGGATGCTTCATCAGAGAGCTACACCCCCATCCCTTTTTATTTTTTTTATTTAGTGACAGGATCTCACTAACCTGCTTAGGGCCTTGCTAATTTGCTGAGGCTGGCTGCAAATTTGATTCTCCTGCCTCAGCCTCAAACAAAAATGGGCTGTGTTTAAACTTAATTTTAAGCATCTTCATTCATGACCAGTGCCACCCCATCCACATTTCATTTCATACCTTTGTGGCCCTCAGAAGCAAACATGTGGCTTGTCCTAGTGTGCTAGGTCAGAGGTAGATTAGGAGAGCTGGGTGTGGTGCTTTTGTAGGATGAGAATAGTAGGAGAGCAAGGGCTGGGGATGGAGGAGGCCAGGACATCTGTGTCGTAAATAAAATAGGGGGTCCACTCATATCAAGGGGCTGCTGTTAATTTATTTTGCATTTTTTATTTATTTTGGGATTGAACCCAAGGATACTTTGCCACTGAGCTAAATCCCCAGCTCTTTTATTTTAATACAGGTTCTCACTAAGTTGCAGAGGCTGGCCTTGAACTTTTGACCCTCCTACCTTCATATCCCAAATTGCTGGGATTACAGGCTTTCACCACTGCATCTGGCTCAAGGGGCTGCTATTTCAAGGAACAGCCCCTTTTCATTTGTAGCTTCTAATACAGATATCCTAGGTATTCATTTTTGGATGTAAGGACAAGGTTAGAGTCCAGTAAGTTTTGCCCATCTTAGTGTGCTATTATTTGGGGGTACAAAGTTTAGTACAAAGTCGCCTCAATCTTGCTCCCGCCAACAGGGATTAAACTCAGGGTCACTTAACCACTTAGCCACATCCCCAACTCTTTTTAATTTTGAGACAGGGTCTTGCTAAATTACTTAGGGTCTCACTAAGTTGCTGAGGCTGATTTAGAACTTGTGATCCTCTTGCCTCAGCYTCCCAATTACAGGTGTGTGTCACTGTGCCTGGTTCCTTCTTCTTGTTTCCTAAGAGGCCCAGTAATGAAGAACATTTCATTGTTCAGTGGAAGCCTAAAATTCAGGGAAGGTTGTCTGGAGGTTGAGGGGACATCTCATCCTTTGTATCTTCCGTGGCAGATTTGTCTTGGGATTGCTTTAGGATCTTGGCAGACTGATAGTTCCTCAATTTACATGACAGGGTTCTGTGACCAATGTGTTATTTATTTTAKATCTAATCATGGTCAGTAGGGGCAGACAGTACCTCTTGGCCAGCTGGCGTAGACGGGGCATGGCCCTGGGACTGCTTGAGGAGTAGCAGGTGGTGGCTTTCCTGTGTTCAGGGACTAGGTCTAGGTTGGTCTGTTCTGCTTCAGGCTTCCTACAGGGTAAACAGTGTCAGCTGGCAACCCCTGTTCACTCAGCTGTTGGGGCATGATAATGCACTTCCCCAGAGAGCATAGACAAGGTCCTGGCAGCTGCAGATTAAGAGCCCATCCTAGTTCCTGATAAAGAGTTTTGGGTGGGGGAGTCCTTGATGCTGCAACAAACAAGCCCCAGAAAGAAGAAACCACCTCTGCAGGTCTAGCATGGGCTGCTCTAGTGGTCTTTGGTGAGGAAAGATAGTGGAGACTCAAGCTCCGCGCCAGCATCCCTGGCTTAATGAAGTGCGGCAGAGTTTGAGGCTGGGAGAATGTATGGCATGGGGTCCAGGTTCATTCCCCCAACTAGCTGTCTGAGTTTGAACCCTCACTCCAGCTTTTACTCTCTCAGAAACTGGGAGGTTGAATTAATGGAAATGACCTCTGTCCTTTCCCTCAGCTTTTGAGTCTAAATCATCCCCATTATCTGGGCAGTCCTAGAGGGCATTTTAGCACCATTATTATCATTCTTTTTAATTAGTCCAACTGGAAAGTCATTTGGGGTGGAAAAGGGAGCAAYAATCTCGGGTCAGACTCCTGCCTGCTAAGGCTTTCAGTCTCCAAGCTCAGGGAGGCAGTCCTGCAGGAGGTCAGCACCCCAGGCTCTGGTGGGGCAGCCTGCCGAGGGTCCATTACAGCTCTACCACCTTGCTGAGCAACCTGGGGCATGTCACTAACCGGGCCTCAGTTTCTCCAGGTGTAAGATGGGACTGAGAAAGGGACCCATTTCAAAATGTTGTAAAGATGAAATGATATCCATAAACTACCTAGACTAGTTCTAGCACTTTGGCTTTAGTTTGTTGGTTTTTTATGGTGTTGGAGACCAAACTTAGGGTSTTGGGCATGCTGGCCAAGTGCTGTATCACATTCTCAATTACCAGGCACATTAAGTGTCAATAAATGCAAACTATTGCTCCAGAGAGAAGTTAACCTCATTTCCTCAATGGCTCTGAATTGGTCCTGAGATGAAGGGTGTATGGCTGTGGATAATTGGAAGAAAACCATTACTAAACCTAATAGGGGTGAGAGTGTGACTTAGTGGTAAAACAAGGTCCAGCACCCAAATAAATAAATAGAGTAATAGTTCCTACTATCACTTTCAAGAATGGTTGCAGTTAACACCATCCAAGCAGCTGTTGGCCTCTCCTCTAGAAAAATGATTCTCAGTTCTTTGTTTCAAAATGTTCACAGTCGGAAAGCTCTTGCTAGTGTCGTATGTTGCCTGTCGTAGTAACTCTGTAAGTGCCTGCTGAAAGAAAGTTAACTGGATGAACTCACTACTGATCTCTGTCCTTCTTGTGGAAATGTRCAGTGTCCTCCTGAGGCACCTGACCTCTTGGCTCTGCTGGTAGGCCTGTGGATTAATACCAAACTGGGCTACGTGCTCAGGTCCACATAAAATGGGTGGGGAGAGGATTTCTCCACTAGCAACTTCTGGCTTCAGCTCTGCCTATCTATGGGATCACATCCCACAAATAGATCTCTTCCCAGAAGAGAA